AGTCTGGCCTTTCTCTGGGAGCCTCCGTTTAGAGAGTCACTTGTGCTCACTAATATTTACTCTTCACTGAGGCTCTGTTTTTGACTTTCCTTAAAACTCTGTTACCTCTTGGTTCCTATAAGTCTGTCTTTCACACAAGAAAAGCAGGGCTTGGCTCCTTGGAGCAGGGCTTGGCAAGCGCAGAGGCAGCACACACAGAAGGGAATGAGTCTGTCAGACTCATTTTCTTCTATTTCAAATGTTTATTTCAGATTTGGGAGGAAGTGGAGCGGTCCCTTTCCATTTCCTAGTATTTGGAACCTACAAGTTGTCTAAGGCTTGGAGAATGGCGCTCTCCTAGTCACCGTACTCGGCAGGTCACCAGTGGAGACTCTTCTGGAAACCTCCGTCCCACCAGAGCAGAGCGCTTAGTCTCATGGAGCTTATTGCACCATCTCCTATGGCTGTAGCCTGGACCCCTGAGATGGGCAATGAGAGCCATGCCAAAGGCTCGGCCACGTCCCACCTCTGCTCCCAAGAGGTGAGGACCAGGCCTGACTTACCTGAGTGGGGACCTCAGCTCGGCCACACTGCACACCTGAGGCCCCTGCTCAGTCTGACAGGATGTGTGAAGCCTTGGGGGAGATCTGGTCCCAAGCCCACTTACTAAGTTCCTGGGGCATCCTGCAACTGACACCAGGACGGTGTTTTCCAAAATAAGACCTGCTTTGGGCATAAGTTCATGTCAGCCTTAACCACACAGGCTTTTCCAATCCATACTCTAATTTCTCTAATTTTCGTTTTCAACATCATGCTGTTCCACTCATCAGTTCTGCAGCTTGCTTCACTGTTCCTGCAGTCAACAGAGGCCATTTCTAAAGCCCCACAGAGACCATCAGAGAACAAACTAGAGAATCCCATGGAAATTTTTCTGCTAACGCTAACAGATGTGCATACCTCAAGACGTGGGAAGCAGGGTCAAGGTATAATTTTAGGTACAATTAGCTATTGAAGATATTTGTAGACAGAAACCTTCAGCAACTGTGAGACCTTGTGACATTTTACACAAATGACCCTGTAGTTGAGTACTTGATAAAAACACCAACACCAACAACAAATGTTGTAAGTAAGTTAATAATGGGGCGTTTAAGAGGTTTCCAGGCCAGAGTGCCTAATCTGATCACATTAATTTTGCCAAAGAGTTTTAAAAGAAAAAATTTTGACTCATTATCTCTACTTATAGTCTAGATTTTTTTTAATTGTGCTATTTTAATTGTTTGGGACCTACTGACCACAGTTCACTAAGATTTATGTGCACAAATACATGTCTTGATCACAGAAAGTTTATCCATACATTTATATTGCACATTCATTAATATATAGTTTCTATATGAAATCTACCATGTTCTGGTAGATATAATGCTCCTAAGCTAATTAACTCTCCTATATACCGGAACTCCTCCATCCTGACTTTCATGTGAATGGACAGTATATCAGGGTCCCACTGACTAGTTATAATCCCCACAATCATTTTAGAAGCCCAAAGAAATTTTAAAAAATTTAAAAAAAAACCTTTTCTATTGCTATCTGTTTTACTGGCCACTATTTAATAAGGCATATTAATAATGAGTAGAGCATCTAGTTTTTCTTTAAGTTAGGAAAAATTAGAATGAAAAGAAGATAAAGAAACATCATAAAGCTCACAATAAGACACACATTCCTGCTGGGAAGATATTTTCCCTGAAGTACATCGTAGCCAAGCTATGCCAAGTCGTGTACTTTTCACACACGAAATTATATTGTATCAAATTTAAATTTGTTACAACTGCCATATCCATTAAACCAGTGATAACGAAAACGCAACTGGATATCTGATCTGGTGAGACAGCAGCCAGCATTAGCTCCCAGCCACAGGAAGACCACCTCCACTGCCCTGGCTGCTGTCAGCTACCCTCAGCCAGACTGCCTTCTCCAGCCGCTGTGAACTGACTGTGTGGTTGCCATGCTCAGGAAATCTTGAAGAAAGCCTCTGGGTGAGGCTGTGCTGCTGGTCATTCTCATCCCTCCACATTTGCGGCACTTAAAATAGACACTTGTACCAGTGTCCTTTCTAGTACCCAGAGGAGAAAAAAAATCACACACACCCCAATCCCTTTCTTTCAGCTCACAGAGAAGCAACTCAATCCAAGCAGTGTTGAAACCCGAGTAGGTCACTGTACACCACGATAAAATTCCCTAATCCCCGGGCCAAATCTCCCCAAGGGGGGCCTCCTCCTGATCCTCCACTTCCCAGGCTGACTTTTCCATTCGCTCTCTCCTCTTTCCCCTTTCATTTCCCTACCTTCAAGCCTTGATATGTGATCTGAGGTGGGGGCTCAGGTTTCCGTTTTTACAGCTTAGGCCCCGATGGCTGTATACATTCCTTTCTCTCTGCTGGGCAGTGATTACTTACCAGGGCTTAGTTTACACTGGTCCAGATGAAAGCTGTTCAGATGAAGGCAAATACAGCCAAGCTGCCCCAGCGGCACTGATATGAAGCCGTACAAGGCTACATTGTGTTCTCGATGACATTTTGTTGCACACATTTTTATACAGGGCAACCAACTTGTTATGTTACCTTATACTTCAGTTCAGGAAGCTGAAGGGATAATAATACCATGAGGGGTAGGGAGGGGTTCTGTTGGTGTGGTGATTAATATTAAAATCAGAAAATAGTAATGTGTTCAAAATAACTCTGTGACTTTGAGAATCTACTTTTTAAGTAAGGATTTTTTTGGGGGGGGTGACGTTATATTAGAAGAATGCCTATAAACCCACTAGACACCCTGGAATGGTATACATGGACATGCCAGGGTCTTTCATATTGTTCCAAACTAGAGAGAAAATGCCACAATTGAATTATGTGATGCTAAAAAAAGAAAAGGAAAAAAAAAAACCTTCTCATTTAATGCTACAGATTGAAACAAGAATTAAGATTTCAAATAGTAGAAAGCAATCTGGAGGGGAAAAAAATAACATTTTAAAAAGAGGAAATTCTGTGCATCCAGGTTAATCCCACACTCAGTCCTGCAGCATGGGCCGAGCACTGTCATTTTCCCCTCCACACAATGTTGTTTTTGTTTCCTCCCCACCAGTTCAGACAAACATCTGTTATACTGCAGAAGGACAAACTATCTCCCAAACCACGGAGTGTGCCTGCAGCCAAAGCCAACAGCACCAGCCCCAAGCACCGAGCACAGTCAGCCTTTATACCCAGCCGGGATAACGTTTCACATGTTTTGATTAAAATTAGCTAATTTGTAATTCTAGAACCTATGAAACTTAAAAGCTGCCATCCATATAGAGGGCATTAGGCAGCATTTTAAAGGGCTAGAGCTAGCTGTGATTTCCTAGTGGCCTTCTCTTGTCGTCCCCCACTGTCCATTTAAAACGACACGGAAAAGTAATGTAGAAACACAGGACAAGGAGGAAGGGCCAGAATTGCAGGGCACACTCTGCCTCGTGGAGAAAAAACAACTTTTACTTCTTTCTTTCTTTCGTCCTTCCTTCCTTTCTTTCTCTGTCTATCATTGGAATCAATGTGGCTTCTGTTACAGGGAATGGTATTAATTTCCAAGGCAAAGCTTCTTTACTTTCCCAGACCGATTCCCTCAGCTTCCAGACACTAATTCTTCACCCCAGAAATAAAAACCCTACTTCCAAAATGTGGAATACTGGTGAGACTTCCGGGAGGGAGGTAAAGTTATGAACATACACCTAGTCACACAAACGCATAAGCTGTGTTTGCCCTTTCTAAGCATGGGCTTCACCACGGCACTCTCACTAAATACGCTTGCTATACCCAAGAAGACGCCAAAACGCAGTAACAGTGAATTAGTCCCATTTTTAACCAGTTTGCCTTTCAAATACAAACTTAACCAATGATGACCAAGTCACCTGACTATGTTGAGTATTCTGTACAGAAGTGGGGAACACCAAGAAACGCAAAAAGCAAGCCTTATACTTTTTTTTTGGTAAGTCATAGAATCAAAAGTATATACATAAAGGGATTGGGGGGTGGTAAAAATCGTGAAATCCACACAAGACAAAAATCCTCGTCCAGGCAAAACTCACAACTTTGAGGAAAATAAAGAAGTGGGGGTGGCAGAGGGGTCCAGGCTGAACGATGTTCTCGGGCTTCAGCGCGAACAGCTGGAGCGCCAGGAGGCTGCGCTCGCCACCTCTGGAGCACCGCTGGCCTGGCAGGGAGCCCGGCCTCGCAGAGAGGACTCGGGGCTGGCCTTCGTGAACAATGGGCAGGCGGCTGTGAAGGCCGCCCCTCAGACAGCTGGCTTTCAGCCGGGCTTGCCCAGTCTGCTAACTGGAAAGTGAGGCGTGCAGAGGCGAGCTGGAGACCGGGGCAGCAGCGGAGAGGAGCGGCCGGGGGCGGCAGAGGCGAGCCCGCTGGCTGCACCGTCCCTGACCCGCGCCGCTCCGGCCCAAGCCTCGAGCACTGACAGCTACGCGGTCGGTCGCAGCTGGGGAGTTGGAGCAAAGAGGGACCATCGAGCTTGGGAACGAACTGGGAAGAGGGGTGGAATCCAGGTATCCCGATGCCCTGGCTCGGCAGCGCTTAACTTTGGAGGGGTCCGGAGGCTCATTTCCGAAAAGGGAAGAAAGGCTACACGGACCATTGGGAAAGCCGCTGCGCCATGCCCACTCGCCACTGGGGTCCGGTACCCTCGCCCTGAAACATCTGCACTAATCTAGGGTTTGTGAGGTTAAATAGTATGCTTCCCCCGCCCCCCCGCCCCCATCAGATCTGAGGTTGGCAGATTTTGGGGATGCAGCCCGTGAGTTGGCCTCGGTTTGGCACCTGGAGGGGGAGCTGAGGCGTCCCGGGGACCCGACAGAAACTGACAAGCGCGCCCCTGTCGTCGTCGTCGTCACCCCCCCCCCCGCCCCCAAGCCTATACAACAGCCCGAAAGGGAGCGGACGGAAGAAAGAGCTCGGTCTCCCCGGCCCTCGAGTCCGAGAATACCTTCATCTCCTCGTTGATCTCCCTCTTCACGGGGTGAGCCGGTTTCCGGCTCCGTTTATTTTCCGGAGGTCTCCCTTCTTTCTCCATTTCTGCCATGTTTTTGTGTCTGGTTTCTGTGGAGATGAAATGGCTGCTGCCGCCGCCGGCGGTGGTGGTGGCGGCGGTGGTGGCGGTGGCGGTGGCGGAGGTGGAGGTGGTGCTGATGGTGGCAACACTGGCGGAGGTAGCGGTACTGGCGGGTCCGGGGCTGGGAGGGGGGAGGCAGGCGAGGGAGGAGCGGGGTCTCTTCT